AGTCGGCGAGACAGCGAACCTGATTAAATCCAGATCTGAAGGCTTCGATCTGCCGGGTGACTCCTCTCTTGACAGTAGCATCAACGACCAGAGATATATACTCCTCAAGACTATTAATATCAACCTGTAACAGAACAGCACAACATCAGCAATCATGGGCAAGGACTTCAAGAATAGTAAGATGCGGGTTGTAAGCTAAAACAGTACGATTTCATCTCCTGGTCTCAGAATGTATTCAGGATAGCCAGGTAGCGTGAAGTCCAAGCAGAGATCTTCTATATGGGATCCACGTAAACACAAATCAGAAACCATGCCGCTGTTGGCACCACCTATTGCCTCCAGATAGTGCTTACGGGCAACAAGAACACGAAGCTCTTGCAAAGTCTTGCCAAGTTCAGCGTCAAATAATATAATATCATGCAAATCAAGCTCCTGCTTAATCGAGGAAAAAAAAAAAAGAAGGAAATTATAAGCAAGGGCTAACAAAAGTGAAAATGTAAAAACCAGGCTTTCAATCTTAACTACACAAAACAAAATACTGAATAGTAAAAAAACTTACTTGACCAAGAATAAGCTTATAGAACGGTGTGCTCAATGGGACGTCCAATAGCCGTCCATCTTGAAGTGCTTTTGCCATCACACGTCCTAAAAGGCGGAAATACTCAATGACTTTATGAAACTGAGTACCTTCAGATACGTCAGCTGTTGAAGGCCAAGGTCGAGGAAACAACCCAAGTGGTGCCTGAACTATATCTCTGTCCCGAGCTGCAGATGATTTCACATCTTCAATCTCATCTCTATCAATTTGCATAGGTACCTTGTCACCAGAATTTGATCTCCACATCCCAAGGGCAGCCTTTTGCAGATCATGGCTTAAGAGTGTGTAAAACTCAAGTGTAGGGCCAAGACCTGTACCAACTTCACCAAAATATTCTACTTCAAGCACAGCTTTTTGGCTAGAATACATCTCCATAACTTTTGCAGCAGAATCTAATATCCTATTTCGGGAAACTCGGACTTTCTGGCGCTGCAATCTCCCTATTCTCATCTCTCGTTCATTAGTAGACCCATTGCCGTCAGCACCTTGCTGCTGCTGCAAGCGATTCAATGCACGAGACAACCCAAAAGCAGTGGAGTAGAAATACTGTCTCCGAGTCTGAAATGGAAACAAAAAGGGGCATGCTCTAGTCAACTGGTCGCACCAAGAGGGAAGACTTCCACTGCACAAAGCAAGCGCATCCTGGATCTGTCGAGCTAATTTGGGTGTAAGTTTGCTATTGACAAATTCTTCATGGGGAACCTTAGCAGCACTTGTACTCAGATCATCTAGACTTGTAATTTTACCCTCTGCGAAGCGATCAGAAACAGTTTGGGATCTTAAACGAGGGCCAAGCTGATTTAAGCCCTCTAATACACGCAACAACGCCAGAACATTATATGTCGAATTTGACTTCTCAAGGTCGCATGGAAGCTCCCCTTGTAAGATACTATCCAAAAGAGATGTCTTATATGACACAGATTCTACGCTGGAATTGGTAGTAGCAGATTTAGTGGATTTTGATGGTGTGGTAGAACTTGCTCCACCAACAGACAACCTGCTCACTTGGCTGTCTGGCTTCTGGTACATGATGGTGTAAATATCATTGAATCTGCTTCCATCACTTGAGATGAAATCGCTGCCACCCAACCTGTCATCATCATCTTCACCTTGCATAAGTTGTCGCTGTACAGCTTGATAAATAGTCAAATGCCTACTAAGTTGCTTTCCTCCCGCAGTAAATATCAACTTAGAGGGCTCATCGGAACTTCGATGCAGGGTACGCCCATGCAGGTCTCTACTCCCCCTCATACCTCTACCACTGGCAGCGCCAAGCCCAGCCATCGCTGCGGCAGCAAAGGAGAGTGCACCCCTAGAACCATAAGAATTCCCAATGCCAGCATCAGCAGAATCAGATCCCCTTGCTGCTGCTGCTCCACTAGTGCCTCCAGAAGCTGCATTCATCTGCCGGCCGCTAGTTGCCAGACCGGCACCTTCATCATCCACTGCGTCCCCCAATTTCACATCATGCACTTTATCAGGCGTGCACATGGGAAGACTGTCATCCAAAACCTGAAATAAATGTATATATACGATTGTGAAGATATTCTACTGAAAATCAAAACCACATGTAAGCTACAAAGTAATACTGCTGGATAGCAGCCAGGTAATTATGAGAAATAGTGGTATAAAGCTAGCATTTCTCTTTGGTCAAATGATAAAAGAAGTTCCAAATGAGTTCGGCTCAACAGCAGCAAAATGTGAAAGTCAACATGGTAAAATAATCCAAATTATGGAAGCTAGCAAACTTTATTGCCAAATGTAGCATCTTTCATGTTGTTAGCGGGAAAAAAACAATCACGTAATATAATGTACAAACAGGAAAAAAAAAAGAAGGCACACTTACATCTTCATTATCATCATCTTCATCATCGGAAATATCATCCTCTTCAATAACCAAGGCATCATCAATGTCGACGGGGGATATCTCCAATTCCTCATCCTACAAGGCATACACGTAAGATAGTGCTAAATAAGCAGATAACACCACAACATCATGATGTAACACTATTAAACAACCATGTAATCCAAAACCTTGTACAGTTACATACCTCAGAGCTGGAGTCTCCGCTAGCTGGTTTCATTTGTGTATCTTTGTCAAGGGCAGCTCTCCTTTGAGCACTGCTCCTTGTTTGAGGCCCC